AGGATACAAAATTAATATACAGAATTCTGTTGAATTTCTATTAACTGATAACAAAGTGGTAGAAAGAGAAATTATGAACAGACACTTCTCCAATGAAGACATGCAAGTGGCTATCAGATACATGAAAAAATGTTCATCATCACTAGCCATCAGGGAGATTCAAATTAAAACCACATTGAGATACCACCTTACACCAGTTAGAATGGCCAAAATTAGCAAGACAGGAAACAACATGTGTTGGAGAGGATGTGGAGAAAGGGGAACCCTCTTACACGGTTGGTGGGAATGCAAGTTGGTGCAGCCACTTTGGAGAACAGTGTAGAGATTCCTCAAGAAATTAAAAATAGAGCTTCCCTGTGGCCCTGCAATTGCACTACTGGGTATTTACCCCAAAGATACAGATGTAGTGAAAAGAAGGGCCATCTGTACCCCACTGTTTATAGCAGCAATGGCCACGGTCGCCAAACTGTGGAAAGAACCAAGATGCCCTTCAATGGACGAATGGATAAGGAAGATGTGGTCCATATACACTATGGAGTATTATGCCTCCATCAGAAAGGATGAATACCCAACTTTAGTAGCAACATGGACGGGACTGAAAGAGATTATGCTGAGTGAAATAAGTCAAGCAGAGAGAGTCAATTATCATATGGTTTCACTTATTTGTGGAGCGTAACAAATAACATGGAGGACAAGGGGAGATGGAGAGGAGAAGGGAGTTGAGGGAAATTGGAAGGGGAGGTGAACCATGAGAGACTATGGACTCTGAAAAACAATCTGAGGGTTTTGAAGGGGCGGGGGATGGGAGGTTGGGGGAACAAGGTGGTGGGTATTAGGCAGGGCACGTATTGCATGGAGCACTGGGTGTGGTGCAAAAACAATACTGTTACGCTGAAAAGAAATAAAACAACAACAACAAAAAACAAACAAAAAAAAGAAAACAATGTTTACATTTGCACTAGAAAGAGTGAAATACCTAGGAATAAATTTAATCATGGAGGTGAGAGAACATTATTTTGAAAATCAGGAAGCACTGATAAAAGAAACTGAAGGGGGGGTGCCAGGGTGGCTCAGTGTGTTAAGCCTCTGCCTTCAAATTGGGTCATGATCTCAGGATTCTGGGATCAAGCCCTGCAGTGGGCTGTCTGCTCAACGGGGAGCCTGCTTCCCTGCCCCCCCCAACTTGTGATCTCTCCCTCCCTCTGTCAAATAAATAAATAAAATCTTAAAAAAAAAAAAAAGAAATTGAAGATGACACAAACAAATGGGAAGTTATACCATGTTTGTGGATTGGAAGAAAATTAATATTGTCAAAATCTCCATACTAATCAAATTCTATAGATTGAGTGTAATCCCTATTAAAATATCAATAGTGTATTTAACAGAACTAGAACAAATAATGGTAAAATTTGTATGGATCCAAAAAGACCCATGGGTCAAAGCAGTCATGAAAAAGAAGTACAAAACTGGAGGTATTGGCAGTCCCATATTTCAAGATACACTGCAAATCTATAGTAATGACAACAGGGTGGTGCTGGCATAAAAATAGATCGACAGGATAGAGAACCCAAAAATAAACCCATACTTACATGATAAATTAATCTATGGTAAAGGAGGCAAGAGTATACAACAGAGAAAAGAGAGCCTCTTCAATAAATAGTATTAGGAAAAACTGGACAGCTGCATGCAAAAGAACGAAAGGAGATCACTTTCTTACACCATACACAAAATAAACTCAAAATGGATTAAAGACCTAAATGTGAGACCTGAAACCGTAAAATGCCTGAAAGAAAACATAGGCAATAATGTCTTGGACATTGATCTTAGCAACATTTTTCTAAATATGTCCCCTTAGGTAAGGGGACAAAAGTAAGAATAAACTTGGGACTACACCAAAATGAAAACCTTCTGCAGAGTGAAGGAAACAGTCAACAAAATGAAAAGACATCCTACTGAATGGGAGAAGATATTTGCAAATGATATATTTGATAAAGGGTTAATGTCATGTAAAGAACTTAAGACAACTGAACACCAAAAAAATAAATAAAAATAATCAACAATCTGGTTTAAAAATGGGCAGAGGACTTGAATAGACATTTTTCCAAAGAAGACATATGGATGACCAAGAGACATGTGAAAAGATGTTCACATTATTAATCAGGGAGATGCATAACAAAACCATAGTGACTTATCATCTTAGACCTGTCAGAATGGCTGATATAAAAAAGACAAGAAATAACAAGTGTTGGTGAGGATGTGGAGAAAAGGGAACCCTTTTGTAGCATTGGTGGAAATGTGTAAATTGATGCAACCACTATAGAGAACAAGATGGAAATTCCTCAAACAATTAAAAATAGAAATACCATATAGTCCAATAATTCCACTAGTGGGTATTTACCCACAGATGATGGAAATGCTAATTGGAAAAATTTATGCACCCCTATGTTGCAACATTATTTACAATAGCCAAGATATAGAAACAACCTAGGTATATCCACTGATAGTTGAACAGATAAAAACGATGGAATATTACACAATGGAAAATTTCTCAGGCATAAAAAGAGTGAGATCTTGCCTTCTGCGACAACATTGATACATCTAGAAGGTATTATGCTAAGTGAAATAAGCCAAAGAAAGACAAATACTATATGATCTCACTTTTATTTGAAATCTAGACAAAGTAGATTGAACAAACAAAAAAACAGAAAAAGAATCATAAATACAGAAAACTAACTGGTGGTTGCCAAAGGTGAGGAGGTTGGGGGGATGGACGAAATAGGTGAAGTGATTTAAGAGGTACAACTTCAGTTACAGAATTGGTAAGTTAGGGAAGGAAAACTCCCCATAGAGAATATAGTCAGTAATACTGTTAGGGTGTTGTATGGTGACCATGCTGGTGACTGCACTTAACTGTGGTGAAAAAAAAGAAAGTTGATGCAGGCAAAAAACCTAATCAGAATTTCTTGAGGCTTTAAAAAAAAAAAAAAGCTCTTGAGGCTGTGTGATGAAATTGACATTTCGCTTTTGCTTTATAGTTCAAGAGAGTCATAGGTGCTACTTTTCCCTTAAGGTATTAGACTGTTAGGTTCTGAATAGTTACCATTCCTCCTAGATGTTTTTGTTTGTTTGTTTTGAAATTTGTATTTGGAAGTGTTATGTAGCATCTAACATCTCAGGTGTTAAGGAGTTATAGGTGATTTTATTTCAGAGAGAGCGAGTGAGCAGTGGTGGGTTGGGACGGGCAGGCAGTGGAAGAGGGAGAGAAAGAATCTTAAACTGGGCTAGATCTCACAACCCTGAGATCATGAGAAGAGCTGAAAATCAAGAGTCCGACTTTTAGCTTAACTGACCGAGCCACCCTGGCACTCCTCTTTTTTCTTTCTTTCTTTTTCTTTTTTCTTTTTTTTTTTAATTTGACAGAGATCACAAGTAGGAAGAGAGGCATGCAGAGAGAGGGGGAAGCAGGCTCTCTCTCAGCAGAGAGCCTGATGTGGGGCTCGATCGAATGACGCTGAGATCCTGAACTGAGCTGAAGGCAGAGGCTTAACCCACTGAGCCACCCAGGCACTCCCCCCCTTTTTTTAAATTAAGGGTAATAGAGGAACACCTAGGTGGCTTGGTCAGTTAAGCATCTGCCTTCTGCTCAGCTCATGATCTCAGGGTCCTGGGATCTAGCCTTGAATCAGGCTCCCTACTTAGCAGGAAGTCTGCTTCTCCCTCTCCCTCCACTCTTCTCTGCTTGTGCTTGTGCACCGGCACACACACACACTCTCTCTCTCTCAAATAAATACATCTTAAAATAAAGGATAATAGAGAAGAGCTTGTTTTGATGGCAGTGGACATTTGTTAAACATTAAATATCATGTTTTTATTGATCAGTTTGATTTAGCTGGTCTGCTGGCTCTTTCTATTAAAGAAATGAAGAGATCCTAATTTAATGGGTTAAATTATTCAGCTGAATTTATTTGTTCTGAGTCCATTAATCGTAATTTAGGTTACTAAGTAACTTTCTTTTTTTTTTTTTTTAAGATTATTTATTTATTTGACAGAGAGAGAGAGAGAGAGAGAGGTCACAAGTAGGCAGAGAGGCAGGCAGAGAGAGAGAGGGGGAAGCAGGCTCCCTGCCAAGCGGAGAGCCTGATGCGGGGCTCAATCCCAGGACCCTGAGACCATGACCTGAGCTCAAGGCAGAGGCTTAAACCACTGAGCCACCCAGGTGCCCCAACTTCCTTTTTCTTAATCAACAAATAAACCTGTGGGTTATCTCAGCAAAAGCATTCTCCTCCATGTGAAAGTTAATTTTATTGTATTTACATGCATAATGGCAAATGTCTCCATACCGATGATAGTCTCTTTAAGCATTACTCTTTAGTGTGGTAAAGGGGCCTGACATGATAGGAGGGGCCAGGAAAAGATAGAGAGTTGCCTCTTACAGAAATGAGGCAGTTAAAAAGACAAAAATTTCCTCTCACAATGGAAAAATGACAACAGAAAGTAATGAGTTCTTTGAAAATATGGTGGCTTTACTTAAACTATTTGCAGTATTGTGCTGTTATTGTTTCAAGAATTGAAAGAATTTGGAGTGGGTGCGTGGAATAGAAAAGATGATAAATTTTTAAGTATTTCATAAAGAAAATGCTTTTGAGGTATTATTACTGTTTTTTGAAACAACCATTATCTCATTTGGGGAAAAATATTTTATCTATTTATGAAAATAATATTTTTTAGTTCTTTGTGACTTATGTTAGGAAGTAGGTTCAGTTTTTATGTATAAAATTTCCTTTTATGATTATGTAAAAGTTATTAATATTAAGACTTTAAGATTATAAACAAATAAATTGACTTACAGTTGTGTTTATTTTTAAAATAATTGTGTTACCTAACAAAGTTTGGTTGACTGTTTCTATGTGTTACAAAACTTGCTGTCATGTTTTCTTATTTTTGGTTTCCTGTGTATCATTAGGGAAAAATGAAAATAAATGAATCTTTTATATTTTTAGGCCCGGATAGCATTTTTGCAAGGAGAAAGAAAAGGTCAAGAAAACTTGAAGAAGGATTTAGTAAGAAGAATAAAGATGTTAGAGTATGCATTAAAACAAGAAAGGTTTGTGTGCCTCATTTTCTTATATGTGTAATATAAAATAGAACAGTTTTCTTTTTTGTACTAGTGTACAGTGTATTTAAAAGCTCTTTGAAAGATTGAAACCCTGCCCAAAATACAAGATGATACTTTGATTCTTATATGGGAAAAGAAAAGATTTAAACCTTTTTTTAAAAAGATTTTATTTATTTATTTGATGGGGGGAGCAGCGAGGGAGGAGAAGCAGACTCCCTCCTAAGCAGGGAGCCTGATGTGGGGCTCCATCCCAGGACCCCAGGATAACTGACTGAACCACCCAGGCGCTCCAAGATTTAAATCTTTAAAATTGAAATAATATCTTGTTATGGAATCTAGGTTTTGGGGTTTTTGTTTCTTTAAAGATCAGGAAAAATTTATCTTTACTCAGGTGTTTGTGTTAATTGGATAATTTACATTTTTTCTTTCACAGCAGCGCACCTTTTTTTCTAACTTCCTTTGCAAGTAAAGCTTAAAAACAGACAATTTGTATTATGTTCTATTTGTTATCAGAGAAATATATACCAGTATTAACTGTGTGGAAAAAGAGAAAGCATTTTCTTTCAACAATTTATTATTGAATTTTCAGGGCAAAATATCACAAATTAAAATATGGCACAGAACTGAACCAAGGTGATTTGAAAATGCCAACCTTTGAATCAGGTAAACTTGATTCTTCCATTAACCTTCTCCTGACCTAATTCAAGAAAAATTGGTTTAAGCTCATTTTTATGTAACAGCCATATTTTCTTCATTCTCATTTTGCTTTGATAGCATTGGTTTGTCAGATTATTGACTACCGTAATATTATCTAGTGTTTTGGGGGAAATGATAAATGAATAAAGTAAGTAGCTTTATCTACATCTCAGTCCTGAGGTTATTTATCCTGTTTTCCTTGTGCTGAAACTTATGTAAAATTGTGGGTACATTTTTGGAATTAACTAGAGGTGAAAGGTAATGAAACAGTTCTTTCTGTGCTTGTTATATAATCCTTATCCCATATGAGCTTAATTTTTTATGATTACAAAGGTGTTTTCATGTGGAGAAGCTGTGATTAACAGTTTAATTCTGAAAATTGGAAATTTGATTGAATTTGAAAACCTCATAGGCAGCCAAATAAGGGTTAAGAGAAGGAAAAAAAATCTTCGCTTCATCTTGCACTATACTAAATTTTGCATCTGCTCTAAACTAAATGGATATTGAGGACGAGAGTACTATCTGATGAGCAGTTATGCTGTGAAGAGACAGCTAGAATAGGAAAAGGCTAACAGTTTACTGGTAAATTTAGGGTTCTGTATGATTACAATTTCAGTAGTCTAAACATCTAATTATGAGGATTATTTTGTTTTATACAAATTAGGAATATTATCAGTTTCTTGTTTCAGGTACATTTAGAACTCATACACATTTTGATGGTGCAGTCAGATTGAACTCTGTGCTGTTCTTGGATGCTGGTTACTAAGACAAGGAAAAAGTGTGTCTTTATTTGGATATGCAGTATTTCCTCTCCTTCTATATTTGTACCATATCCAATAAAGTCAAAGTGTATATGGTAGGGAAAAATAAAACTTAAGTATGGACTTTTTTTAGTTAGGTGGCACAGTAAATTTTAAAAATTTTATTGGTTTTTAGTTTGATATTAAATACTGTTATTATTAATGTTAAATACTTAGCAAAACACTTCATACATACAACTTGCAGTTGATTTAATTTTTCTATACTTAACTAATTTTACCATTTATTATATTTCAAGTTGTTGGCATACATATAAATTTAAGGAAGAAAATATGAACAGCATGGGTTTCCTTTTTGTTTTTTAAAGATTTTATTTATTTGCCAGAGAGAGAGGCAGGCAGAGGGAGTAGCAGGATCTCTGCCCAGTGAGGAGCCAGATGTGGGACTTGATCCCAGGACCCTGGGATCAGGACCTGAGCTGAAGGCAGACGCTTAACCAACTGAGCTACCCTGGCATCCTGCATGAGTTTCCTTTGATCTGGCTTTTCAGTGATTATGAAGATTTGATAGTAGGGAACAGTATTATGGCCTAATCCTTGGAAAAGCAACAATAAATGATAAAAAGTTGGAATGGTCTATATATTTTGGGCCTTGTTTACTACAGTAGTCTTACTGTAGTTAGAGGGAGTAGAGTAGCTTCACACAACCTAATGGATTCAGAACTTTTCTTTGACTCCTTTTCTTTCTAATATGGTTAGAATAGTCACAAAATAAATATTCACTTCCTAACTTAAGGGCTATACCCCCTAACTTGGTCTTCGTAAATAAGAGGAAGGTGACTAGTTGCAGCTGCCTTGTTCCTGGAGCTATAGTTAGAATTGGCTAGTTGGTTTCAGTACAACAGCTTGTAGAAAACAGATCTCTATTGTCTACAACTGAGGTAAGATTAAAAACAACTGTTTTTGTCTGTATAAACTTAACTATTAAAACTTCCTCAAAATGAAGAATAAATGATATCCAATTATTTTACTTAGGGAAACAACAATAGCAAAATAGATTGCTTTTATTGATGTAGCAAAACTTCATGGTGTTGAGCAGGGGAAAAAGACAAAAGGATGGGCTAAATACAGCATGCAAACAAAATGGAGTGAAATGATTTACATCAAAGTATAGCTCAAGAGAGCTATTGAACAAATTGGTATTGCCTTTTATATATGCACAAAATCAAAATGTAAAAAAGTGTAAAATATTGTCTTGACTGATGTACAAGATGTGAATGTTTTTGTACCTGTGCCTCAGTAATACCAATATGTATATGTATTCTAAACCCAACACTTAGAGAAAGGGTTGTATCTAAATATGTAAAGAGCTCTTTTTCATGCCTTTAGGGGAAAAAAAAATCTCTAACAGTAGAAAAATAGGCAAAAGACTTGAAAAGTCAGCCCATAAGAGAAAATATCCAAATGGCCAATAAGTAGATGAAATGAAACTCAATTTTATTAGTTACTGAGGACATAGAACCAAAGTGCAGTGTATATAATTAGAGACCTATCAGAATGGCTAAAATAACATACAAAAGAGAAAAAAGGTGAAGTGTTGATGAGGATTTAGAACAACCATACCTACTGGGTTTGAGATTGAAAACTGATTGAACTGCTCTGAAAGTGGTTTGTCAGTGATACTAAAGGAAACATAGCCATAGCAGCATGCTCTATGGCCCAGTAATTTTGCTTCTAGGTATTCTACTCCTTAAAAGGCATACATATGTTCATCATAAGGCTTGTGTATAGTATGTTGTATTAAAAATCAGGAAACAATTTGAATGACCTGCAGTGTTAGAATGAGTACATATACTGTGTGGTATTTTAGCATAGTGGAATGCTCTTTAGCAACAAAAGTGAACAAACTGTAACTACACTTGACAACATGGACAGGTAACATAAAACTGAAAATTGATACAAACGATTTTGTGTGTATCAAGTTAAAAAATTAATTTAGGTTTTATAGTTTATCAATTATAAAACCTAAATTAATTTTATAATTATAAAATTTATAATTTATAATTATAAATTTTATTTATATAATATATAAAAATAAATATATAATTTATAATTATTTATAATATAAAATTTATAATTTATCAATTATAAAACCTAGATTAATTAAAATTAAAAAGGGTATTGATACCCTTTTTAGGAGTGTCTAGTGACTAGAATAGGGCACAAGGAAAGCTTTTGGGGTGCTGATAAATGTTTTGTTTCTCCATTGAGGAACTGGTTACATTGGTGTGTTAAAAATTCATTGATCTATATGCTTTTGATGTACTTCAGGGATATCCTTAGCAGCATTATTTATAATAAGGAAAAGAAACTAATGTCAACATTAGTGGACTCGTTAAATAGGCATATACTTTCTTTGGAATAATAGGTAATCATTTTATGATATTAATCTAAATTACTATCAAGAGAGTGTTGAGAATATTCAAATACATTGTCAAAAGCAGCTTATGCTACAGTGCACATATTGAACCCCCCTCTTTTTAAAGAAAGAAATTTATATATGTATTTTGAGATGAAAAATAGGACTAACACTATTGGTGATAGGATTTGAGGCAGTTTTAATTCTTTTAAAAAATATATTTTTTCTCCAGTGGTTATGTATTCTATGTAATTACATGGTAAACAAATGGTATAAACAGAAAAAGTTACAAGCAAAAATAAAGAGGCTATTAGGATGAAATAATTGTTTCTAGAAATCTTAGAAATTCATGTGTTCGGGGGAAGAATGAAAAGATGTTAATAATGGGATTGTTAGGGTTAGAGAAGTAATGCCTGCTACCAGTATTTGTTCTCATGACTTTGAGGAGTCTAGGAGCCTGTGAGCCATGCTAAAGGTTCTCAACATTCAGTGTGAAGGCTGATCTTCTATGATCCTCTCTTCTCTGCTTTATTTTAATTTTCATAATGGGACTTTATAGGAAAATATTTCTATAATATTGTTCGTGCTGATACATAGTTTTAAGTCTCTAGGGATACTTTTTTTTTTTTTTTTAGATTTTATTTATTTATTTGACAGAGATCACAAGTAGGCAGAGAGGCAGGCAGAGAGAGAGGGGGAGGCAGGCTCCCTGCTGAGCAGAGAGCCTGATGTGGAGCTCGATCCCAGGACCCTGGGATCATGACCTGAGGCAGAAGCTTTAATCTGCTAAGCCACCCAGGTGCCCCTCTAGGGATACTTATTGAGAGCTTGACTCACTTCAGATTATAGTATTTTTTTTAAGACTTATTTATTTGCTTGAGAGAGAGAGAGTGGGGAGAGGGGCCCAAAGGAGAGAGAGGAGAGAAGCAAGCCACCCACTGAGTATGGTGCCCAGCATGGGGCTCCGTCTCATGACCCTGAGATTATGACCCGAGCCAAAATCGAGAGTTGGATGCTTAACTGGCTGAGCCAGCCACCCAGGCACCCCTGTATTATTTATTAAACTCTCCCTTAATGCATATACTTTTATTCCAGAATAAAATATGACTTTTTAATTGTAGTAGAAACTATTTTCTGGTTTAAGTTTTAGTTCTCAAACTGAAGTTGATTATATGAAGTGTTATGATATCTACTTAAAGTTAACTGATACAGACTCCTAAGTTATTCAGTGGTTTTATATATATAAAGTTTCCTAAGTGCTGATTTTGAATGCTTAAGTAAATATTAAATACAGCCTTTTAATTTTAAAAGCATTCAACCCAGCAGAATTCAGGTAGTTAAAAACATTTATTTTTTAGCATTTCATTTCAAAGCCTAGTATTTTGGTCTCTGAATCTCTAGTAGAGTTTATGTACTCTTGGGTTTTCCTGATGTTAAAACAAGGAGGGTCATACCTGAGTTGTGTAAGTTATTGGGATAAACACATTTAAAATGAGTGACCCACAGTAAATACTCAATAGTTGTTAATTTACTTCTGTTCTTTATAAAATATTTAGTTATATTTTGTGGGATTTTATCCCTGGGAGAACTTCGGCAATATTTTCTTAAGACTTGAAATAATGCGTATGAAATCATCTGGGTTTTTTTTTGTGTGTGTGTGTTAATTTTTAGAAGAAACCAAAGACACAGAAGCTCCCACAGCACCTCAGAATAGCCAGTTAACGTGGAAGCAAGGCAGACAGCTGTTAAGACAGTAAGTAATGGTTCATTTTCAGCTTTAAGGATCTAGGTATGAAAGTGCTTATATACAGTCACTCGCAAGTGAAAAATTGTTTGGTGATAATAGGACAGTGTGTAGAGTTTTCAGATTGCTTTCTTGCTTTATTAGACTATTGGATCTTTTTAAAGTTTGTCTCCTCTAAATGTTCCTTTGAACACTACTCAGGATGATGATGTTTTCTTATTTGTGGGGTAGAATGTCATAAAAACTGGATGACTGGAAGGCAAGAATAAAAACAATATAGAGTTCATACTTGAGGATACTCTCATTCCCATCAGTGCAGAATTCACAAACTTGGGTTAAGTAGGAGTATTACTGGTTTATAGAGGAATTCAATTGGTTATCTGAAACCTTTCATAAATGGCTTGCCAAATCCTACTTTTTACTTGAATTTTTGAGGAACATTTTGATGTTTGAATTCTTTTTTTTTTTTAATGTTTGAATTCTTTGCTGTATTAGAAGAATTATGTGGCATATCTTATTATCTTTAATCTATTTGTTTTTTGGCCATATGTTTTTAAAGCTTTGGTATCTGTGTACTACTAATATCCTGGGTAATTTACAATTATTCAAACTTCCCAACTATATAGATGTTTAACTTCACTTCAGTAACCCAGTGAAATGTGGGGAGACCCTTCATCTTGTTATTACCTAGAACTTACCTTACTCTGGAATATTCCATGATCCAACATTTGTCTTATATTCCACCTTTCCCACCCCAATTCCCATGTTGTTTGCTCTCTGACCTTACCTTGATTCTTACCTGAGATTCTTGACTACTTTAATTTTCCCCTTTGGCTCCTTTAGCTCTGGTTGGTTTTATTTTGTTTATTTGTTGATGTGGGCTTTTCTTGTTTTTATTTTTACCTAGTTCCAGCTTAGACCAATCATCCATCACCCTTTTGCTAGTACCCCTAGCTTTCTTGGTGCCCTCTCTTAACCCTCTCCCACCAGTCATTTTACTATACCCACAGTATCCCACCCCCAGTTCAGTCTTGCTGTCTGCTTCTTCTGTTTCTAATTAAATCTTGGAGGAAAATCACAGAGTCCTCTGAATGCCTTTGCATATTCTTAGTTTCCCATACAAACATTGTAGAGAGCCTTTCTTCATAACCCTGGCCATGTCCTGCTCCCATTACCCTCAGTAGATACTCTAAACTTTTACCATATCTCAGCCCATTCTCCCTTACTTATTAGAGCACCTCAAGTTCTACTTCACTGAAAATATGAAGGCTGTCAGATGAGAACTCCCTTAACTTTATGCTTTCCTTTCTGTAGATGTATTTAAACCTCAAATTTATCACTTTAGTTTCTGATGTTTCATTCAAAGTCTTGAAACTACCAGTCCAAACTCTGAGTGACTAAAACTTGAACAAGCTTCAGTAAAACAGATTAGTCTTTGGAAGGATGCTAGAGTAGCTAGCAGAATTGAGGAAAGTGCTGAATAACTGAGTATCCAGAAGACAAGAGCTGACATATACCTGAGGACTTCTTAGGGAATGGAAACAACCATGATACGTTCTTATTCTCTGGTTTTATTCTCCTCTGTATATCAGTTTTAATCTTTTCTACTGAAAGTCAGAATTGGCTTACTTGATCAAATAAGTGAGTCAATTATTTTTACCTAGTTGTGTGAGATCTTGGCTGCTCATTCAGACCACATGGTTAGAGTGTGATGGCATTTGTTCCCCCATAAAAGAGAATTGCAGTTTTTAGAAGAGTGCAGTAGCTGTAGAGAAATCGGTTGTACAGTATTTCTCTTATAAAAACCTAATGTTATTGTCTGGATTAATATTCTGTCTCTCCACATCTTTCCCTGAGAATAGTTTATCTTTATAAACTGAGAAGAGTTTATCTCTATAAACTGAGAAGAGTTTATCTCTGTAGTTTTCCTTGTTCATTTCTCAGCTGTGTACTCTGTTTTCTACTTTGATACCAGACTGAAGCTACTGACAAAAATACTTAAGAGACTTTTTTTGTTCCTATCTCATCTTTTGGAAGCATTTGACATTAACTATTCATTCTTTTTAGAGCCTTTTTTCTTACTTAATCTCTGCTGTCATTTCCCATCCTTATTTCTCAAGTGCTTTCTTATAATTTTCTTAGATTTTCTCTTATTTTTCTAGTCCTTTAGATGTCTGTGTCCCCAGGCTTTCTGTTCCAGAGTTTTTTCTCAGGGTAACTTCATTAAAATCCATGGCTTTAAATACCACTGAACACTGATGACTGTCAAATCTATATACTGAGTCCAGTCTCTTCTGAGCTTTGACCTTTTTTATTATTGTGCCTAATAAATGTTGTCACTTTCATAGATACTACATGATTATGTGATAGTTACCGTATAAACCAGATTTGGACACCTTATTCTTCATTACATTGACTAGAACCACCATCTATGTTAGAAATCTGAAAATTTTCTAAAATTCTTTTATCTCCTTACATTCTTTTTTTTTTTTTTTAATATTTATTTATTTGACAGAGAGAGAGAGAGAATCACAAGTAGACAGAGAGGCAGAGCGAGAGGGAGAAGAGGACTCCCCACTGAGCAGAGAGCCCGATGCAGGGCTTGATCCCAGGACCCTGAGATCATGACCTAAGCCAAAGGCAGAGGCTTAACCCACTGAGTCATGCAGGCGCCCATCTCCTTACATTCTGCTGCCATATTTATTTGTGCACCATGTCTTTAAGATTATATCTTGCTTATTTTTCTCACATTTATTAGCTTCAGTTTTATTTCTTGCTGTTTTAGTATGGTAGTGTTCTAACCAATTTCCCTATCATTGGCTTTCACCTAAAAATCTTAGTGTCTAAGACTCCTTTTAACATCCTTCCTTAGCCTGTCAAATACTTCTAGAAGAAATTCTTCATCACACAAAGCCATTCATGACCCATTGTGTATTATGTCATAATCTAGTCCCTTTCTTCTTTTCAGATCTCATCCTAGATCCTAAGTTAGGTATAAAGAAAGTCTCAGTACCAGATTTTAGGTCCTAGAAGAACAACTAACCTGTGCATCATCCTCTGGCTAAGAACCCAGGTTTAAACTTAGAATGTTGCAGTACTGAGATTTAGTTCTACTCATTCTTTACCACTTGGTGGACTTTTTTTTTTTTTTTTTTTTTTAAATATGTCATCAACTCCTAAAGCTTTTTAAGGTTCTTGGGCTTTTTAGGTTTCACGATAATTGTCCCTCAATTAGTGTTAGCATACTATATGCTTTCTTAATTAAATTTTGGTTTATAATTGGCCTTGTTCTCTTAGAATTGGAACTAGTCTATAGAGAAGAAGGTTTTGCGGCAAAGGAAGGTTATATTTTAGAGATTTATGTTTTTTTCTGAAATTCCTTGATATGATTTTGAGTTAACAAGTTTGTAGGTCTTAATATATGAGTTTAAATATTTTAAATTTTCTCTTATAGATATCTTCAGGAAGTAGGTTACACAGATACAATATTAGATGTACGGTCTCAGCGGGTAAGGTCATTACTTGGACTATCCAATTCAGAACCAAATGGATCAGTAGAAACAAAGAACTTAGAACAGATCCTGAATGGAGGTGAATCTCCTAAGCAAAAAGGACAAGAAATCAAAAGGTATGATCTGTACTTATCGGTTAACATTGGTTATATAATGGATACTATGAATCTCTTTAACATGTTACTTTTGTTAATTTTTAAAGCAGGTAGAGTTCAGATTTAAAGACTTTTTTTCGCTCCTGCATAGTACCATGGGCAAATTTAAATTGATCTCTCTTGAGTTTTGATACCAAGAAATTGACTATAGTTCTGAAATAGGTACAGATTTAAATTTCAGTTTTAGAGTAATTTCAGGTAGTTCAGAGCTACTTTAACATCCTGATTTAAATTTTTGATAGGGTATTTTCAATAAATTATAATGGTACTCTATAACTAGAGTAGTAATGGTCATTTACACACAAGTATGAAAGAAACAAGGTTTTGTGTTATGTTTGCTGTCAGAAAGCCATCAGTTAATACTTTTTTAAAATTTAATGTATTTACTGAGATAAAATTCACATACTATACATTTCTGCCATTTAAAGTATGTCGTTTATTTTTAGGATATTCAGTCTCTCAGCCATCACCACAATCTTAGTTTTGAAAATATTCATCATTCCCAGCAGGAACCCCATACTCATTGGCCAGCACTCACCATTCTGCTCTGCACTCATTTCACTACCAACCCCAGGCAACCACTAATCTACTTTGTTTCTATAGATTCCCTATTCTGAACATTTCATATAAATGGTTATTTTGTGAGTGGCTTCTTTACCTTAGCATAATGTTTTTTTAAGCTTCATCCATGTGTCAGTAATTCATTCCTTTTTTGCCAAGTAATACTCTGTTCTATGGATATATCACATTTTGTTTATCCATTCCTTGTCAAGGAAGTTCCAAACTCTTTTCCAAAGTGGGTAAACTATTTTAATTCCCGCCAGCAATTTCTTCATGTCCTCATCACCTTTGATGTTTTTTGTCTGTCAGACGTACCTTTGGTTAATACAGACTTGATAAATGCAAGGTGTTAATAAGTGGGTAGAATTTTTTTTTTAACCACTAGATGTCACCTTGAAAACATAGGTTGGAAGGACGTAGAAGAGAAAAAGAGAATGGAAAGAAGCAAAATGAGTTCCTTGAGTTCCTTTAGAGCTTAAGAAATGAATGCTATGTATTGTTTATAAACTAGCATTATTTCTTACCTTTGCTATATTTCATGACATTATGCTTTTGTTTAAAACATGTACTGAAAATTTCAAGTTAACATAAACCTTTGCTTTAGGGGTTTTATTTCCGAGAAATAAGGCCTCTTCAGTAACATTTGACATCAAATACAGCTCTTATTTTCTTTACTCTGGATTTCAGGAAGCACAGAATGTTTTTGTGGTATAAGAGAAAAAGCAAAAGTATTATGCATTTTTAAGCTTGTTAGCTAATCAGGCTGAGTAGTTCATAGAATTTATAAATATTTAGAGGAATGCAGTTTAGCACACCTGAATCTGAATTAAATTTCCACACCAGACTTAATCTTCTTGTAAAGCTCCTTGCCTTTGCAAGATTAAGACTTTAATAGGTTTCTTTTCTATTGTGTTAAAAAAAAAAACACATAACATGAGATCTATCCTCTTCACAATTTTTAAAGTGTATAGTGCAGTATTGTTAACCATAAGCACAATGTTATAGAGTACACCTCTAGAACTTTTTCATCTTTCATGACTGAAACTCTGTACCTATTGAATAGCAACTCCCTATTTCCTCCTCCTACCAGCCCCTGGCAACCACCATTCAACTCTCTGTTTCTGTGAGTGACCGCTTTAAGTACTTCATGCAAGTGGAATCATGTAGTGTTTGTCCTTCTTTGACCACCTTATTTCACTTAGCATAATGTCATGAAGGTTTAGCGTGTTGTAGCATATGACAAGATCTCCTCCTTTTTTGGCTAAGTAATATTCCACTGTATGTATATACCACATTTTCTTGTTCCATTCATGTGTCCACAGATGTTTAGGTAATAATTGTTCTTAATCAAGTCTGACTTCCATCTTAATGAGTATACTTACGTATTCTGAATCTGCACTAATGCAGGTATGTGTGGTTCAGCTATTATTCGGGCCTTTGAAAACTAGGAATGAGAAAAATGATCTAACATGTTGAGATTTTAGCAGAAGGATGTTTATCACATTCTTATTTATAATAGTAAAAAGTTAGAAGTAATCTTAATGTTTAACAGAGCAGTGGCAAATTTTAGATCATATTATTAGGGGTTTAATGGTTTAGAATGTGAATTCTGAGGAGGACTGACTAGGTTTAAATTGTGACTTTGCCACTTATTAATTATGGCTCTGGGCAAGGTACTTAACCTTCCTGTGCCTCAGTTTCCTCACTGGTAAAATAATGATGATAGGGTTAATGTGAAGAAGAAATGAATTAATAGGGAAGCGTTTAGAACATAGTAAGTGCTAGTTGTGGTGGAATACTGTGTATCCTATTGAAATGTGACCCTACAGGGTAATGTTTACTAGATTTTGCTGAGTGAATGTCGCTCTTGTATTTGTTGGTTTATTGGGGAGGGGGGTGTTTTTAATGCACAGTGCATCATGTCACAAAGCATCTACTTTTTGAGGATTCAAGGAGCACAGAGTTCTCTTAGGTCTTGCAACTGGAAAATCTTTGCTGCTTCTTAGTAATTGGTTTGATTTACCTGTGAACCTCCAGTAGTTGCTCTCTTTCTCTACTCTGTTTGGATTCTTGGCCATATTTGTGCCCTGCAGACGTGCTCCCTCACCCCCGTCTGACTTTTAGCCTTTTACTTAACCAACCTTGCCCTTGGCTTCCGTTTTATTTTCTCCTCATCTGGACATTTTAATTTTGTTTTTTAAAGATTTTATTTATTTATTTGAGAGAGAGTGAGAAAGAGCATGAGAGTAGAAAAGGTCAGAGGGAGAAGCAGACTCCCCGTGGAGCTGGGAGCCTGATGTGGGACTTGATCTTGGGACTCTGGGATCATGACCTGAGCCGAATGCAGTTGCTTAACCAACTGAGCCACCTTAATTTTCTTATTCTGTTGATGTTCTTTTTACAGTGAGAGAGGATAGTGAATACATAGTTGGCAATGAAAAAAAAAAAACTATTACAAAATCCATAGACAAAGACTTTTGCTTAAGTATCATGGATTTAAAAAGCCGCATTTTAGTTATGTGCCTTCTGGAACCTCTGTTAAAATTACAGTTAAAGACTTTTTAAAAATGCATTAACGCAGAAGAACAAAAAACTGAATATGTAGAAAGAAGGCGAAGATGTACCATACATCCGGATAGGGTGAGTTTAACAATTTGAAAAGTTGGCAAGAGTATGGAGGATGTACTGTTCATCAGATAGGGAGCATTTTAACAGTTTTGGAGGCTGGAAAGAAAATGTAGGAATATCACATGCTTTAAATCTAGGGACATTCAGGAGCAATAATAAAAGGAACAAGCCAATTAAAGTCTTAAAATGCCAGCAAAGCTCTAACGGCTAAAGAATTAGAAGTATCAGATACATCTGGATTGGGTTTAGAGGGGGTTATGATTGGAGTATTGGTTTAAAGTTTATGTAAGAGGTCGTTAGAATCTCAGATCTCTTTTATCCTGTGTAGCAAGCTAAATACCCCTCCACCTGTGGTGGTATATTTTCCAGTGAAGTTCCATGATTTTTGATTTCTTAAGATATAAAGCAACTCTAGGATAGAATCTACTTAACTGGAAACAGGAGGATTATCTGAATCTCCAGCTGAGCAGTGAGACTCTTGTTTTCTTCTAATATTTGGCTTCTGGTATATTGGCAGTGGGTCTTACATCCCTTCCAGGCAGAATGTTGAAATTTATCACATAAATAGGAAAGACTTAATGATACTAACAATTGGGATCTGCCGGTGAAATGGTGAGGCCCTGTCCTTTCATGCAGAAGTGAAGCCAGTCACTTTGGCAAACCTCACCCATGTACTCAGTACATAGAGTTAGCCTTTGGTGCCTCACTCTTAAAGGTGAACATTTCAGGAGAGACTTTACTACGGAAATTGGAAACCAGGGAACCAAAGAAGGAACTCAAAACAGGGAGCAGATTTTCAAAACTATAATTACTCTTCTGAAAAGATTGAGAGAAGATAATACCTCTACAAAACAAGTGGAATGTTATTTAGTGATGGACATTAAGGAGGGCATGGGGTGTAATGAGCACTGGGTATTATATAAGACTGATGAATCACTGAACTCTGAAATTAATAATACACTATATGTTAATTAATTGAACTTAAATTTTAAAAGCTCTAAGAAAAGGTTCAATCAGAAATCAAAAAAGAGCTGTTAGAGATTGAAAGGTGTGATAGAAATAATTTCCATATAGAACTTGGAGGATAAGATTGAAGAATCACCCCTCCCAACCTCCACCCTCCGAAAAGAGAAAAGGGGAAAGAAGAAGTAGGACTGAAAAGAGGTAAATTCAAAGATCAGTAGGGCCAACATCTGACTAGGAGTTCCAGAGAGAACAGGTAAAATGGTCTTGAAAAGATTATTAAATTAGTAATAAAAGAAAATTTTCTGGAATAAATTTATAAATTGTTAATTTTCAAGGATGTTTCCAGATTGAAAGGATTCGTCCCAATTACACTATAAAATTAGTAAAAAAAAAAAAAAATACAAAGGCCATCATCATGAATGCTAAAAAGAAGTATCTCAAAAGAAACAGTATGTCAGCATGCAAGTAGGGTAAAGTCTCAGACCTTTCGTAGTCTGTGGTGGCTTTAATTTTCATTTTCTGAAAGAGTAATGATGTTGACCATCAGTTTATGCCATCTATGCATCTTTTGATACAGTGTCTGTTTGACTAATGTTCCCATTTTTTATTGTTTTTATTTGTTACTGTTATTTAAGTGTTCTTTATGTATTATGGACACAGGTTGTCTTCATAAAATATATGACTTGCAAATATTCTCTTCCAGTCTGTATGCTTTTCTTTAAGTTCCCCTAACACTGTCTTTTGAAGAACAAAGTTTTTAATATTGGAAAGTCTCATTCATTTTCTTTTATGAATTGTGTTCTATTTGTCTTTTAAAGCCATCCATGTGTATTGCTGTGATGAAATACAATTTTAAAGAGATGCCTGGGTGGCTCAGTTGGTTAAATGTCTGCCATGGGCTTGGATCATAATCCCACGATCTTGGGGATCGAGTCCCACATCAGGCTCCTTGCTCAGCGAGGAGCCTGCTTTTCCTTCTGCCTCAGCTTCCCCTGCTTGTGTTCTCTCTCTCTCCCTTCTCTCTCTCTCTGACAAATAAAGTCTTATTTAAAAAATACAGTTTAAAAAAAAATACAGTTTTAGAAACTTAAAACATGATTTTCACTTTAGAGACATCTCTTTTTTTTTTTATTTTTAAGATTTTATTTATTTGAGAGAAGGAGAGAACTAGAGGGAGAGAGAGCAAGCATAAGTGGGGGGACAGAAGGAGAGGGCGAAGCAGGCTCCCTGATGAGCAGGGAGCCCAACATGGGACTTGATTCCAGGACTGTGGGATCACGACCTGAGCTGAAGACAGACGCTTAACTGACTGTGCCACCCAGGCACCCCTAAGACAGACATTTCTATCCAAGGGACAGTACTACTTAATTTGTGAGAGTTTGAATTGGAATTCTCATATCTTAAATGTACTAGTTTCTATTTTTCTGTCTTTAATGTACCAGTTTTGCCACTTACCTTTTTGCTTTTCATTTAATCCCCAGATGTTAAGACATACTGTAAATACTGAGCTGAAAGTGTGTGTTGTGTTACTGTGGTAGTTTCTTTGTTTTACTGATTTGTATTTGGAAAAACATCTCTCTTTACATTCAGTTTTTATGCAGGTCCTTAAACAATGAGCTGGATTAGGTAGAGTATATAGTAGACCTCTTAAAATCCATGCTATGTTAAAAAATAGTCTGAATTAGGGTGGCTGGGTGGCTCAGTTGGTTAAGTGTCTTATTCTTTTTTTTTTTTAAGATTTTAGTTTATTTTAGAGAGAGGGGGTATCTGCACTCAGGAAGAGGGAGAGGGAGAATCCCAAGCAGACTCTGCACTTGTGTGGAGTCTGATACAGGGGTTGATCTCACAACCCTGAGATCATGCCCTGAGCTGATACCAAGAGTCAGATGCTCACCAGACTGAGCCACCCAGGTGACCCCATCTTCTGTTGATTTCAGGGTTGTGAGAATCAAGCCCTGCATTGGGGGCTCCACACTGGACATGGAGCCTGCTTAAGATTCTCTTTCTCTCTCTCTCTTTGCCCCTCCAGGCCCTGCCCCCTTCAAAAAAAAAGTCTGAATTGTATTTTAGATTGTTACTCTTTTTGGTACCAAAAGATCATCTAGTTCAACCCAAACAGTTTACAGGTAAAGAAATTGCAGCTAAAAGGTTTAAGTGACTGGGCCAAATTCAGTCATCTAGTTAATGGTAGAGCAGAGACTTTTATTGTGTAAGTCTTTTTTGGCCTGAAATTTTCACTGTTCTCTTGCTTTGTTATTAGATATTAAACAGCTATTTGAAAACCCTTTTTTGTACATAGAGAAGGGACTCAAATTATAGTTTAAAAAATGACTTCATAGGTAGATTAAAATAGATGATCGTTATTACCTATTAAATTGAATGATTCTGAAAGACTTGAAGAAAGTATTTCTTTAGTATATTAAGAATCCTGTTTTGTAGGTAAGAAAGTCTGTGAAATGGATTGGGATATCTGTATCTGATTTACCCCATAACTTTAAATCTGGGCAGGTTTAAGTCTTCAGACATTTGGACCTCTTAAGAGGTTGTAGAGCTATAAGAAATGCTAAGTTTACTTGCTTGCTTTTGGTGGCTTTATTTTGAGAAATAATACCACATTTGAGTGTCTGTTACTATAAGATTTTGACACAATAATTACTCAAAGAGAAACTTAACAAAACAATCACTTTTACTTTAGTCAGAAAACAGACAATCTTCAAAACATTATTTTATTGGGTAAAATACTTAGGCAATATATTATAAATAGGTTATCATTTGAATCTCTATACTAGTTTCAAGTACTGTTTTAAAATAGGAAACAAATATTAGAATTAACCATTGGTATATTTGGATTCATCTTTGTCCCCTTTGACAGGCCCTCTGGTGATGTTCTTGAGACATTCAATTTTTTAGAAAATGCTGATGACAGTGATGAAGAAGAGGAAAATGACATGATTGAAGGTATCCCAGAAGGAAAAGATAAACATCGGATGAATAAACACAAAGTAGGAACTCAGTTTTTAATTTTTTTGGCTAAAATACATATACACATGTATTTGGAGTAGAAATTTTCAAGATGTCTTAAGTTACATTAGGAGTGATGGATTATTTTTTATTTTATCATCTCTATTGAAAGTTTTATATATTGTCAGTTCTTACTATTACCCACCTATAGTAGAAATTATTATTTGCTGTATCATTCACTAAATGGCAAAAAGGGGTCTTTTTTTAATAGAACTAGTCTGGCACTTTGAAACTTAAAAAAAACAACCACCTTATCCACTCCCGCTACAATTAAGAATCACTGCTGAAGTCTGTCTTTTCGTGTACAGTACACAGGTGATAAATAAAGTGAAGCTGCAATGGGGATACTCCCACTCTGGGTGAGGGACTAAACTATAGATTATAAATGTATGTGTCCACATTCTTGTTCTTTGATAAGGATTAATAAAAATTTACTTTTCCTCATAATCTAAGAAACTGAGTTATCAATTTTATCAGTGATGTGGGTTAGCTATAAGAGTATACACAAATTAGATGATCCATTTATGAATTACCACAGTAGTATAGAGTATTTCATGTATCTAAAAAAAAGTACATGGGTTAAGTTTTGTTTTCTTGGGATATTATAATAATGTTCTTGTTCCTTAAAAGTTTTTAGGCTATTAAAGCAGTTTCCAGCCTTCCTTTCACATTTCATGTATGCAGCATACTCATGTGTGTAACACGGGTAAATGGAGAGATTCCCCCCTCCTTTTTTTTCCTTGGGAGGCAAAGCACTATTATTTTCACAGCTATTGACTTAAGATCAGTTAATATTCTTACTATATTAGCCATGCCAGGACCTTGTGAATTATGGACTACATGTGCAGTTCTCAGTGAGTGAAGTCAGTTCAACACAGTGTATTATCAGAATGTAAGTGAGTAAAACGACCTATAAATAGGGGTATTTGTGATCCTATTCTAATTAAAGAAGTGAACTGCTTTTGATTATTATTTTAACCATTTTTTTAACTACCATTTTTTTTACTACCAGATTACTTATATCACATCTTACAGTAATCTTCACATGACACTGTTAAGAAATTTATATTTGCCATTTATATGCATATATTTGGGGATTGGTGAAATAAATGGAAAATCTAAAATTTTGTGTAAGTAATTTAAAAATGGGAGTGCAAATATAAAGATAATTGTGTGAAATCATATAAAGGATCCCTTTAAAATCTAGGATAAAAGTAATTCTTGGCTTATGTTCCATTTACAGATAGGTAATGAAGGTTTAGCTGCTGACCTAACTGATGATCCTGATACTGAGGAAGCACTGAAAGAATTTGATTTTTTAGTGACAGCTGAAGATGGTGAAGGAGCTGGAGAAGCACGGAGTTCAGGGGATGGCACAGAATGGGGTAAGGTGATAAAGAAATATGGGGGCGGGAGAATAGCCTTTAAGGATATATTGGTATTGAATATTATATGTGGAATGTGAGTATTTGAATGTATGGTGGCAGTTGAATGAGAACAAGGGGAAATGGTGTTGAATAATCTCAGGGTATTTTGTACCAATTTATTTAGATTTGGTGACAAAACTATTGTTTAATATATGCCTTTTGGTGGATTTTGATTTTTGGAACTTACCTTGATTTAAAGTTGAAAGAAATCCAATTTTTTCCTCTTAGCAAATTAAAAAAAAAAAAAAAAACCACATGTATGTAGTTTTAAGCATTCCCATTATTTAATTTGGTAATGAATCTAGGTTTAAGGATTTAACTCTTGTTATGCCCATACAATGTTACCTGACTTATTGCTAGAAAGTAATAAAGCTACTAATCTTGAATTACAGCTTTATATCGAACAAGGTTTAGTGAAGGTATTAAACTTTACTACATATATTTAGTATGCATATGTTAGGCCTAGCCTTTGGAAATGATACATAATGCTAATAATAATCCAGCTATAACTGAAAGAAAACAGTTCTATTTATACAGGATTTAAAACTCCATTAGAAAATAAAAGTATAAAAATTTATTAAGATAATAGCTTAGGTCCACTCTCTTGTGCATTCAATCAGTTTTGAAAACCAGCATGTTATCTGGCAGGTAGAACTCACACTATGTTTACAGAGCTTTATTGGAGAAGGTCACTAAGTCCCTTATTGCACATTTCAAAGGAACACCAGAGTTGCTTAGTTACTAGCAGGAGGAGTTATCACTAACTACTTAAAAACTACTTTGATGATGGGGAACACATATTATTTAAAAATGCCTCATTTGTGTACTGAAACTGAATTTGCTGATAGCAGGAGAAACAAAACCTAAGAGGTAATGTAATTATTTACTATCCTGATAACAATTTAAGCACTTAAAAATCTGAGTTTTGTTATTTGCTTTCTTACTGATTATAATTCTTAAGCATTGTTTCAGACCTTTACTTATCTCTTCTTCTAAGTGGAAAGAGAAGAGGCACATTAGTGGAAAATATGAAAAAAATTCAGAATTACCTTCTAGACTTTGAATATACATTTTTGTACTTACTATTTGAAAATGGCTATATTCTAGTTTACTTTTCTTAAGAATTAGCCTTGCTCAGGGGGCACAATAAAAGTATAAAAGTTTTCTTTAAGCTTCTTTGTGCAACCCATTCAATGTTAGAAATACCTAATTTTTTCCCAGTAGATTCTAAAGTACTGTTTCCCCCCTCCCCCCGGGTTATTTTATAATTATATAAGTACATTTAAATTATATAAGTATATAATTATTTTGTAATTCATGTATTTTAGGAGTTTAGAAACCCTTCTTCTGTGAAGAAGAAATTAAAAATAACCTATAATGCCACTGTGTAAGGAGAATCATGCTTAACATTTATATATATGTATCTGTCTTTAACAAAGGATTTTGCTTAGTTCCAGTTTATAACCCACACTTTTAACCTAATACATTGTTCTTCTGCAGCAACATTTTTAATAGCTTCATAATATTCTGTCAGTATGTTCCATTATTTAATTGGGGTCTTACTGATGAACATTTAGATTATTTTCATTAAAGAAAATAATCAACAGTTTTCAAATATTTACATAGCTAATGCTTGGCGTATAACCATTCCTGCTTTCTTTGCCTAAAATTGCTGGAATTTTAACAGTCAAAAGAATATACAAAAATTTCAGGAATTTAGTTTGTATAAAATGACATTATTTCTTTAATAATGAAATGCTATATTGTGTTTAGTCGATTGGTCCTTCTGTCCAAAGGCTTTTGGCTCTAGAGCAGTTTCAAAAGCAGACCTAACAAGTGAGTGATAATAGTAAAATATTACTCACTTTTACTGTTACTATTTGACTGTGACCTGAATCTGTGTATATGGAAGTAACTGAAAGTCTCTTCCTTCCAGATGAGACTGAACCATCTTTAAAGCATTTTAAGTTCTTTAGAAGGAAAAGAACAAAATTGTTCAGGCAGTTTCTTTCCTTACCAAATGCAGACTGTCAAAGGATCTATGCAGTGTTTCTGTATTTTTCATTTCTTCTCAACAGGTGCTATATTCAGTTTTTCCAGAACAAAGAGGATGGATATACAAACATACCTTTATTTAACTCATTTGCTTAAATTTGAATTTACTTACAAATGGGAAGGTGACAGTTTTTGAGATTTAAATTATTGGGTAAAAGACCTTTTTTTTGTTTTGTTATTGTTGTTGTTGTTGTTATTCGGAAGTAATGTATCCTACTGAAACATATTTCAGTACCCACCCACAGTGGGTAGTCTGTTGTTTTTTATTTTGTAACATTATAAATCTCAGATATTCTAATTTTGAATACTTTTATCGTATAAAACCACTGCTTTTTAGGAAGCTTCTAAATCCTATTTTTCTTCTGTTATCTACATTAGGTAGTCTGAGTTTAATTTTGGTAGTTTTTAGTTCTTCTCATAGTCAAAAATAGTAGTAGGCATTTCTGATTTTGCTGTTTCTCTCATGGAGACATGGCATTTTGAGCATGTTTGGTTATTTTCTCCTCCACTTTGAAAGTGTGATTTGTGGAAATTTATAGGACTACCAAATGTAATTAGTACCTGAATGTTTGTATTTAAATATTATGGATTGGATAATTAAAGTACTGAATATTTGCATAAAGTGATGTTACATTTTTATGCTATATTAAATAAATTTATATAATTCCTCTACTATGATAGTTAGAATTACCATATTAGAATTTTATGTTTTTGTGGTTTTGAGTTGTTAAGGGTCATTTTTTTGTGTGTGCATATTTGTGTTTTCTTTTAAACAAAAAAGTTCCCCTAACTGATTCAGCCTCCTTTCTTGGTATTCCCCCCACCCCCAGATTATTAACAAAACAGAATTAATATGTAGAAGATTATGCTGCCTCTTCCCTTTTGCTCTTAACTATTTCTTATAAGCAGTATCAAATCAGCTGTTATTACAAGGCAAGTTTCAGGATGTTTTTTGTGCACATATGCATTCACCAACCTGTTCTTTCTTTGCACTGCTTTGAGTTAACCTTTGTTTTCTAGACTTTAGGTTATCTTTCAAGTAATATTTGTTTTTTTTCCCTTAGGCTTATCCTTTTTATTCCCTTTTGCTTTTTCACTCTAGTACCCTTTGCTACTTGAATTAGAGTTACAACTTTATTTTTTCTACAGAGGTGTTTTAAAAAACTGTTGAGGCTATCTTACTAAAATTTTCTGTCCTATGGCATTACCTATGTAAAATTTATACCACTGAAGCTTTTTTGTTTTTAAATTTTCTTTCTATAGGTTTAAAAATACATAGTTTGGCTTACTTTAAGTGGTTACTTAAACAATAATTGCTAGTTTTATTAAGATGAATGCAAATGATTTGTTCTTTAGATCACATTTTTGGGGGAGTATCCAGTGAGTTCACAGAATAATTTCTGATTACAGCCGTTTTCAGTAAACTTCATGATTACAGTACACAAAAGTAAATTTTCTCTTTAAATCAATATTACTGCAGTATTACAAACAGTACTACAATTGCAAATTTGACAGATAATCTTATGTATATGTTTCAATCTTGAGCAACCTAGTTTGAGTAATTCAAGTTGACAAATTAGCTTAAAGCTTTGAATTTAGCTTTTTACATCCAGATTGCCTAAGATCATAGGTATATCCATAGGGGAGAAAGTGATAACAAGTGTAGAAAAGGGTCAAGGTACAGTAAGTAATTGAATTTCTACATGCCATTCAAATATGAGAATTTTTATATTTACTACAAATAGCAGTCTATAAGGGGCAAAAAAGGCTTTTTAATGTCCACTGTATGGATTAAGTCAGTGAGGCCTAGGCAGTTTTACAAGATTTGTAATCTGAAATATAATGAGTTATCAGAAATTTAGCAAGTGTGGTTTCCCTAAAATCTCACTATTCTGTCAGTCCTGTTCAGTGACTTAGCCTGTGTGTTTTGATAGAGTTCTTATTTAGTAACATGGTTACATAAACTCATAGCTGTTACTCTGTAACAGAATGTTAAACTTTCTAGTAACATGGCTATTTTAAAACTAAACAAATGAAGGGAAAACCCTTAATACTTAAAGTAATTCTAATAGATTTATTTTTATCCTGCTTCTTTTTAATGCTGTTTTCTTCTAGTTTACTATAGAGTAAAATTTTTCCAGGCACAAGTATTTACTTAAAATAAGTACAGATTTGTTATTCAGCTAAAATAGCTGAAGTTTCTTCTTTAGCAGATGTACAGCAATGTATGTTTTCACTTCTCCATGCTTGTCACTGCTTTTATCTTACCCTAAAAAAAATAAACTCAAAAATTCTTCAGTGGAATTTGAGTTTTGTTTTTTTGTTTTTTTTTTGCTAATCTTAGTTGTAGACCAATGGAAGAAGGTAATGAGATGTTGGACTATTTGGGTGGGGTGGGGGCCGAGGTGGGATTCTCTGAATGCTTTGTATGTATTATTGGAGATAATGTATTTTGGAACTATATGTATGTATTATATTGGACTAGAATGCCTCTCCATTAGTATAGTTACCCGTGCATGCAGAATCAGTGTGACAGAAGGTGCATGAATATTTTCATCAATAAAATGGCACTGACCTTTCCAGCTTGCACTCTATGAGTAGTTCGCATGTAATTCATTCATTTGCTTTTATGATGCTGGCTGAATAATTTTTATGAACATTTTTATAAAGATGCAGTGATCTCTTTTGTATAACAGTTTTCTAATGCCAGTCCATTGAATATTACTCATTGAAAGAATAATAACCTTCAAATTTGTGATTCATAGATATGAAGCACCATTTAACTGTTAGTATTAACTGTTTAGAAACTTATGAGATGGGCATTTAGAGTTTGAGTTGTGAATACCAAAACTGAAACTGCACCTTTAAAGTATTTTGGGTATATGCTGTTAGTGTATTTTTATTATGATTATGTAAAACTATAACAGTTTACTGCCAACAGCTTGCATTGCCAACTGCTGATTTTTTTTCTTTTAATAATATGCTGCATGTAGATAAAGATGACCTCTCCCCACCTACTGAGGTTTGGGATGTAGACCAGGGATTAATAAGTAAACTGAAGGAACAGTACAAGAAGGAACGAAAGGGGAAGAAAGGGGTGAAGAGTAAGTGCAGATTCTATTATAATTTTTGTATACCACTCTCTTAGAAAAAAATTCTTCAACTCTTGCTTTTGTGTGTGTGTGTGTACCTTTTTTTGGTTTCATCAGGGGGCAACTAACTTTAAACTTTGTTGTATAATTGAAATTTATTTGAATATAACTTAGGCTATGTTATTAATCAAGTGAAAAATCATTTTAAATAATGTTAATAAGGATGAAGGAAAGGTTTCAAGGGAGGTTTTTTGTTTTGTTTAAAGCTTTAAAAATTTTACCAATTTGTAAGGAATATTGGCCTTGGAATTAAAGTAACAAATTTAAAAAATTTTTAAAAATTAAAATAACAAATTTGTTCAAAAGGGAGAAAGTATAAATTTCCTTGTTTTTGATAAATAGGGTATTATAGCTATAACCAACTCTTGCCCAGGTTATATTTCTTAGTTTGGAAATCCTTAAGTATAGTGAATATAAAAGCCCTTTTCATCGTTGCTGCTTTCTGGTCTTAATCCAACAGCAAAGCAGGAGGACAGCAGAAAAATCTCTCCTGGGTAGTATTTTGTTGACTACTGTGGTGGAAGGCTAATAGGAAGGGTAGCGATGCCAGTAAGGTTTGTTTGGTCTCTAGCTGAGTAACTTTTTTTCATAGTATTTTTCACTATGTTGCATCTGATCAGTGTACTGTGAAAGTATAAATTCAGCTATAGCATTTCTCAGTGATACAGTTCATTTCCATTTTTTGAATCAAACTTTACAAACAGCCACATGAAAAGTATCTTCAGACTTTTGAGTATTAAATGAAGAAACTTGAAGCTCACTTTGGGGAAAACTTTATTTTGAACTGGCTGTTGATTATTGCTAGTCTCACTTTTTTGACTATGTCAAGGACAAAGTGATGGCAAAGGTTAAAACCATATAGGCATTCTTTTTATATTCCTTTGTTTGTTGACAGAGAAGTTTATAAAATGGCAGGTGTAACTGAAATGCATGTAAGTTTTTTGCAGTAAAACTCTTTTTAAATGGTTTAATTTATTGTGGAAGCTAATAAGGGGAGTTTTGGGGACTTGTTACACAGTTTTCTTTTATAAAATTATGCTAATTTGCTATGCATGTGAATGAAAAGAAACTTTTCTAAGAAGTTTCAGATTATACAGTGAATTGCTTATTGTATTTAAAAACATTTAGTGCTGGGCAGGGGCTTTGTTCAGCTCTAACATCATTTACCTACGTAATTCGTGCATGTTTAGTATAAAAGTACTTTTGCATGATTGACTATTCGAATATAGACATGAAACATTAGAATTTTGGGGTGTAGGTCTTTTTAATGAAATGTAGTTTATTTTAATAGATTACTTATTTTCTGTGTGCTGTTTATGAACTGACTCATCTTTTGATTTCTTTAGAAAATGTTAGATAATGTTGCTTTAATTTAAAATACAAATACCCCCATTTTTTCCTCCTGATATGATTATATCTTTTTGAGGTTTAGAAAATAATATATAGGTCAATTGAAGGTCTTTTTCATTTGTAGGCCTTGAATGTATCTAGAAAATGTTACACCCACATCTTTAAGAAATACTAGAAACAAATCAACTGAAGCTAAAATTCAAAACCCCCATAACATTTTAATTTAATTAACTTTTAAAAATAGGACCATTGTATCAAAGTTTTATTTGCCTGTTTAGCTGACATTTCATAGAAGACATCATTTCATATCAATAAGTATTCCTCTGTATAACATGTTTTCAGGTTTTTTTTTAACCATCTACCTTGTTGTGAAATATAAGATTGGAGAACTATGTGAAGTGGACAAAAGAGGATTGCTGTGATACAAATTAGAAGATGGGCCTGCAGAGCCATGCCTGAGGCTCTCATGTCTCAGTACTGGGGTTTTGTTTTTGTTTTTGTTTTTGTATTGTTTTATTATCTAGATATGTACTCTGTTATTTAGCCAGGTCTTTTTAATTTTGGTTTTCTTTCTTTCTTTTTTTTTTTTAAAGGAACTAACTTTGTTTATATAACCATAAAAAATAACATATGCTTGTTAGCCAGACAGTAGGAAGTATAATATCTAGAAACATAAAGAAAAATGTGAAAAGACCCACAGTCTTAATACTTAGAGATTAATATTTGACATATATCTTTACAACTTTTTCCAAGTGTTGTTTTTTATATAAACCACCTTTTTAATTTTTTAACAAAAATATTGTAATATTTTTAATTCATTTTGTCTTAAATGTTTCATAGTCATCTGAAAAAGATATAATTTAATGATTACATAGTTTTGCAGTTGGTAGATTTAACCTGGCCTCTGTTAGTTAGACCTTTATATTATTTCTCATTTTTAATGTTCTTAGAAATGTCCATGTCTTAAGGTTACCTGTATATGTACATATAAGATTTCCAGCATAATGTCTCAGGAATGTATTAGGAGGTAATGTGTTTCTTTTTGCACTTATTGTGAATTTAAATAAAACCTTTTTGCCCTTGAATATATCAAGTTCAGTATGAACCTATTGGCTCTGAATCCCTGATGTGGAGATAAAACTTAAGGAAATAAAAAACTTTTTTCAGTTGATGGATCATAACTTCTGTCTTAATCTAGGTATATTAACATTAATACAAAGATATAATTTTACATGAAAAGGATAATTCCTGTATTTTCTTATTCTTATTAACTGTTTTTGTTGAGTTTTATTCTGATATTTTATTAGATATAGCTTTGTACAAGATAGAATAATTCGTAAGCTGTGGTCTTGATTTCTTTATTTCTTTTATTCCAATATATGAATGAATTATATCCACTGGATCATACTACTACATTTCTCCAGATTTTTTTCTAGCTTTGTAAAGGGAAGAAAATTATTTGCTAATTTTACCATATAGATTCAGCAGATGTAACCCAACCTAAATGCTTTTTTTTTTAATGGAAAGAAAAAAGTGGTGAGAATATCAGCTTTTTAACTTTGTAAAGACTCAGCCATGATTTGACTCTTAAATGGAAAGAATTCTAAAACCCAGAGCTGAGAGACTAGTGGTTATTTGTCTTCTAACTTGTTTACTTCACTACACCTTTCCTTTTTTCCACCTGAGGCAAAAGAAAATGACTTAAATATGAACTTTGCCTTGGATTGTAGATATAATTTAGTATTAATTTCATGCTAAGTGCCATATACTTAAGAGATATACTTTATTAATACTTATAAAAGTAGAAACCATGAAACTTAAGAGAGTTGATGCAGTTATTTTGTTCTCAGGCTTCAAAAGTGTTAAGCATCCCTTACTTTTTTAACTTTTTTTTTTTTAAGATTTTATTTATTTATTTGACAGACAGAGATCACAAGTGGGCAGAGAGGCAGGCAGAGAGAGAGAGAGAGAGGGGAAAGCAGGCTCCCTGCTGAACAGAGAGACCGATGCGGGGCTCGATCCCAGGACCCTGGGATCATGACCTGAGCCCAAGCCAGAGGCTTTAACTGAGCCACACAGGTGCCCCTACTTTTTAACTTTTTATTTTTATTTTTTTATTTTTTAAAGATTTTATTTATTTATTTGACAAAGATCACAAGCAGGCAGAGAGGCAGGCAGAGAGAGAGGAGGAAGCAGGCTCCCTGCTGAGCAGAGAGCCTGATGCAGGGCTCAATCCCAGGACCCTGAGATCACGACCTGAGCCGAAGGCAGAGGCTTAACCTACTCAGGCGCCCCTTAACTTTTTATTTTGACATAATTTCATACTTAAGGCAAAGTACAGTTGCAAGAATAGTACAAAGAATTCCAGGTAATTTTCACCCAGACTCCCCCAGTTGTCAATATTTTACTGCATTTGCTTAATTAATTCTTTCTCTGTAAATATATACATTTATTATTTTGAATAGTTCAAAAAATGAGTAGGTTGCAGATATGTTGTTCTTCAAATGGTTTAGCATATGTTACCTGACAACAAAAACATCCTCTTAAGTGACCACAGTACGGTGATGAAAACCGGAAAAGTAAATGATACAGTACTGTTATCTGACCCACAACTCAGTTTTCTTTCATTGTTTAATAATTTCTAAAGGTTGTATAATTGGGGAAGGGAGTCAGGGAGAGTTTCTAAATTTATTGTTATGTTAAAATTTGGTCTGGTAGGATTTTTTCTAGAGAAGTTTTTGGTGGTGTGCATTTTGCTGTGTTATTTACAGCTCAGTAAAAGCATGTAAATCAATAACAAATCATTGTGGAGCATCTAGAGTAAGTGTGAAGCATTTGAAATTTGAAAAATAGGAAGGAATTAAAAAGTTTTTCAGACTTCTTTAGATTTTTGTCTGCTTCAGGTTTTCAACGTGGAAAGTTTAAATTGTGAATTGTAATATGTTTTCTTTCATAGATGTTCTTATTGTATGGCTTATTACTCCTATGCTATTTAAGACTTCTAAAATTGAGGCTTATTAAAATAATGTCATTTCATATCTTTCCTTCAAATGATTCATAGGCTTTTCCCATTTCAAAGACTCATATTCTGAGAATATATATGTTTACATTTCTAGTTTTTAGTGAATGAATGAACTTGTCTTAATTTTTCTCATGATTGCCATTTGTGCTAATTTTCCTGTCTTTTCCATGTATAGAATATGATTGTCATTCCCCTTCTTAACTGATGTTACAGAATTGCTGCACATCCTTTGACTTGTCAATACATTGGAAAAGGAAAGTCCTTTAACTTTTTCAGTATTTTTAAAATATAATTTATTAGTGAGTGTCCCTGGATTGTTTTCTAGTTTTTAAAAAAATTTATATTAGTTTTTGTCACTTGTTACTCCAGATCCAGGATGACAAACCATCAACAGAAATGTAATATTTTTGTCAAGTGTGACTTTTGTCCAAATATCTGTATATTGGACATTTTAACATTTAAGGAGAAATTATTCTTTTATAGCAGTAACTTTTAGTAGGCCTTTAAAAACAACTTGGTGCACGCTGTAAAATATTTGGTATTTTTAAAAAGATGTTATTTATTTATTTACTTATTTGAG